GGAATGCATTTATGGAATATTTTTGCACTCATGGTGCTATAGAATGGCAATGGGAAAGATGCTAGTTACTATTTACTAAAATATTGAATAGCCATTACATTGATAATTCATCAACAAACTCAATTTCATGCAATTTTGTAAAACAAAACTAAGTAAATTTTAGTCACTATACAAAGGTGATATGAAGTTGATGAAAATGTTGCAAGCTGTCTATTTTTTTAAAAATAACACATCTATTTTAAGTAAAATACAAAATTTTTCTACCTCATTCTGTCATCCTCAATTACAACAATAGCAACAGTAGAATACTAAACATGGAACTTATTATTTGCTATACATAGAAAGCTTCCTTAATATTGCACAGCATTTCTTAAAAATGGAATGCGGATTTCAGTTTCTGTAGTCACTTGTGGATTTAACTGCATTTCGTACGGACGTTCATCTGTGAATTGCTGACCAATGTTTTGATTTGCATTTGTATGATTTGAATAAAAAAGTGTTGGATGGGATGTCGAACTATTCATTTCATTTATTTCCAGCTCAAAAATTATATCTGTGATGCGTTTTTCAGCAACTATTCTGGTTCTTGGTGGAAATTTCGATAACTTCTCTGCCACATACATTGAAAATGGACACTGACTAACACTATTTGAAGCAGGCATTGGCTCTTTTAAAACGTCAATGCAAGTAGTAATAAGGTCTCTCTTCTTTTCTTCTGCTTCAGCTCGTATCCTAGTGGGTGTTTTATAACTGCCACGTGATGATTTGGATGAAACCGACTCCGAATCCAATCCTGTATCCATCTCATCATCAACAGAATCAAGACGAGGAGATATATTTGAAGATGAATGCTTTGAAAGGTTGTCTTTACTTTTGCCAGCGTTCATAACCGGACGAAGGAATTGTAATCGGTCCCAATAAGCCCACGACGATGAATAGTTCTGACTCGAACTTTGACCAGATTTCGTTTTGTTTGTTTTCGCGATTTCTCGGCCAAGTTGCGCCCTTAGGGAAACAAGTCTAGCTTTAGTATCTTTCACGCTAATCCCCAATATATTCTTCATTTCCTCGTAATGCATGAGTCAATTCCAAGAGTTACCATCCCCCCCCCGGGACTTTGGCCGGGCATTTGATTTTTTTTGTTTTAATAGTTCAATTTCCCCGCTGCCGGGGAAAGGCAAGAAGGCAAATACTCAGCCCCCGGGCAAGCTGCCAATGGCAAATGCCCCGCTCCGGGACCAAGTAATTTTAAATTACGAAAATTAGGAACACTTTTTAATACTTTATTAAACTAACACAAACTAACACATATATCCTATAAAAAATAAATGTGGTAAAAGAAATTCGTTCCCTTGTTACTTTCCCTTGCTCCGCTTTTCTCTTGCTGCTTTTGCTTTTCCAGCACCTCTTTTCCTGTTCACAGAAATTTGCGTCAAGTGCTGAATCCACAAGCTAACATCCTCGGTTGACAGCAAACATTTCTGGCAAGCATGCTTATGTCAGCATCCTCTACACATCCGCCACTGTGACTCTTGTGAAAGTCTGCCAGTATTTCAGACGGCGGCGGGCTCCTTATAGCTTTGCCAACTGCATATAAATTTAGCAGCTCTGATACTTCGGTGACATAATGCCCATAGCAATCTCCCGTGCATGTTTCGCAATCCTCCCCTCCCCAAGGTCTTCTTGCATCAGCAACTGGGTAAGGAAAAAAACCACACGATGGTCCGTCTGGATACCAGGAGATGGGAATCGGTAGATTTCTTCCACCTTATAAAATATCAACAAGAGTGCAATTTGATTTAAAGTTTAAGGGACGTAATAACAATATGCACTTTTAACACCTTAAAAATATTACTTTAACAATTAAAGCAAAATATACAACTCTTTCCGATTAATGTACCTTGTTCGTTGCAGGCACTACAAACAAATTTCTCCAAATTTTGTGCTTCTTCCTCTGTTGTCTTTACACAATCCCCATGTAACCACTGTCCGCATTGATCACAACATATCATAAATCTACAAAGATCGATCCAAATGACTTGTTAGCTACAACGATCATCAAATACAAGTTTTTAAAGCTGAGGAAAGTTACCTCTTAGTGTCTTCAGAGGAACCACAAATGCAAAAGCTGCCTCCAAATGTAGAAATACCTTCTGCTGACTTTGGTTGTTTGGACGCTAATAAAAAATTAAAAAAATATTTGTTAGTTCAATTTAAGTTTACTAAATTTATTGACTTTCTCAGATTTATTTCTCTTTGATATTTTACCTTCCTGACACAGTGGATGTGGGCATCCTGATTTACCACAACACCTCAGCATAAAAACATATTTTTCCGGCAAACTTTTATCCATATGATTGTTTCGTACGTCCCAAATTTCCGAAAAATAGTCAAACAAACTGGGATTTTCGTTTTTCAGACTTAGCCTTTCTTTTTTAGTTCCTTTCAGAAATATTAATAGCTTATTTCTCCGTGACACGAAATCATGGTTTTCTGCACCCCTTATCAAATGAATAACAGTATTCATACACGGCGTTCCATCAACACGACTAATGTATTGATCAATGGCAGCAGACATGTTTTTTTCGTGCTTTTTCTTGTCAAATTCTACATTATCTGAATATGGTGAACCATGTAAAGTCGATGGAATGAATGTGTTTGAATGCCCACGACTTAAACACCCATTTTGTAGCTCGACACGATTGAGGTAGCTGTCACCACTGCACCGGGTTGTTACAAGTGTCACCTTTGTTTTCTTGTTTACATGCCGTTCGCACCACATAAATTGAACTTCAGCATGGGAAGGGCCCTCGTCTGTCGCACCATCAACTCTAATACACTCAAATTCTTTAGCTTTCTTGTTGGTATTATGAAATGCTGATGCAATCACATCCATATTTTCGACAACAGACAGATCTGCGCTGTGTTGTGCTGGCGATTTTTCATGAAGTCCAGATGCTTTTACCACTCCAACACACTGTTCAACTGTGTTGGATGTCTTTGAAAAGTTATAGCTTGTAACTTGCAATTGTGCTTGATATTTATTAAGAAAGTCAGTGCAGGTAGTAAGAGTTGGTTTTACCGATAATACAGGAAAGTTTTTATGGGTAAATGTGGAGTCTAATCGAAAGCCAGCTTGATCATCTCTATTGACAAGCAACATGTGGCTCCCATCTTTTTGTAATTGATTCAGAGACTTATACATGGAACGACTCCACTTGCAATCAGGATTAAACTTTAATATAAAACCTTTCCTCGCTCTCATGTATTTGACATTGGCAACACCACTGTACCGTTTACATGAGCGATGTCGTTTATGTTTTGGTACACATAATTGAACTACTGATCCATAGCTGAAGTGTCTACCATAATGTTCTTTAAGTTTTTTTTTTATTTTACCGTACGTGATGCGCTGTGATGATTTAATATCCCCAGAAAATGTGTACACACCAGTTCTGCACCAACGATCAGCTCCTACATCACTTTCCTGAACGATGTTCTCGATGACTTCACCAATGTCATTATACTTATCCAATATTCTTTTCGTAGACTTTGATATTCTCTTCCGAAGAAATCGTTTTCCCTGAATTTCTTTAAACATTCTTTTTCTGGCATTATCTTTTATTTTTCGTAGCTTACTATGAATTGATTCTTGATGATTTAGTCGTTTCAGGTTATCTTCTTCCGATTCTTCGCAACTTGAATCAGTAGAGGAGAGTGAAATAGTTTGCACAATTTCTTCGCTTTGTTCAATTGCTTGCAGATAAGCAGCACGTGATTGCTCAATTAACTGAACTTCCTCTTCGCTGAATCCAAGTTTTGGTAAAAGCAATGCAATTTCAATCATTAACGAGTCAACTACTGATTCGTCTTCGGAGCGAAATTTGGATTGTAGCAGGACAACAAACGCAAACCAATTAAAAGAGACTTCTTTAAGTAATTTCGCTGCTTTTTGAATGTTACTCTCACCTCTACACTTATCCTTTACACTTTCCTCTCTAAATTCTATCTCAGGAACATATTCTTCCATGTCACTGCCACTGTCATTGCTTGAACTTCCATAGTCCGTTTCCACAAATGAATCCGAACTGCTTATAAAGTAATTATCAATGTTTTCACCACACGATAGCAAGAACTGTTTTTGCTCAGACTTTGCTAAAGCTGAGTGTCTATCCTTTATTTCCTTCATCGTGAGTGCAGTTTTGTTGATATTATTAGCTCTCTCTTTAAGTTTTGATATCCCATAAAGTTGACTTGCTCTCCTTCTAGATAGATTTTGAGTGCTGCACACAGTATGTTTCAACAAAGTTTTTTCAACGTCTCCTTGGGCAACAGAAAACATCACGTCATAGTCTTTTGGCTGTAAGTAGGACTTGTTCTTAGAAGTCATAAAATTTGATTGTATCTTCTTCGCAAGCAAGGCATAGTCTTCTAGTGCTTTTTTCTTCTCAGTGACGTAAATTGCATCATTTACACTGAGAGCAGAAACTGGCATCTGAAGCATTTTGCTTTTAGCTTTTCCACTATTATATGGAATGTTACTGAAACATCTATTCCAAAGACAAGGTAAAGTTACTGTGTTTTCTCTAAGAATCATGGTTGCAGCATCAATCAACGAGTAGCACTTCAAACACAAAGGTAGACTGCTGTGTATTTCTTTACATCTTGCCTTCTTGGCAACTATATATTCTGATAAACTTAAACCCTCAAATAAACTAACATAAACTTTAACAAATTCTGTGACTGTCTGCACTTTACAGTCTGTAAGTTTTCTATGTTCTTGGGTCCGCAAAATGTTAACTAAATCTTTTATTGTTCTCGTGTGTGAAACCCCTTGGTAATGTACATGGGGCTCTAACTCATAAAAAAGAGTTTTCATCATCTAGATGATTGGATCCTGCTTTGACATCAGTGTGCAAAGGATCTGCTTGTCGCAAACAAACAATTTCTTTTCCATTTACTATAGATGAGTTGTGATGCTCCAAACATTTCATGTCTTCCTCTTCTTGATGCTTTACCACATCAATTTTAATCTTCTTTTTTATATCTTCGCTTTCATTACCAGCTGCCAACTGTTCTGTTGCATAAACTATTTCATTGCTTGCAGTTTGGATTTTCCTTTTCAATTCCGGAACTCTCCCATCAAGCGATCCTCTATCACTTGAGCTATTGAGTTCTTCTTCTTCACTAGTACTACTGTCAAGTATCAACATATCATCACTTCCTAGACGATTGATCGCTTTCACAATCTTGGTGTTGCTAATATTTGAATCATCTGGTTTCTTTTGCATTTTTTCTTTAATTTATTCTGCTCCACTATCATCTTTCGTTTCTCATTGTACAGTTTAGTACATAATTCAAAATCATGGATCGCTTTTGCTCTATTCATGTCCTTTTCAAGTTTATCTATCAATGTGGTCAGGCTCTCAATTTGGCTTGAAGATGATGTCAGCTCTTGGTTTCGCTCTGCAGTTGACATTTTTTTTCTTTTTGACGAATGTGTACCTTCAAACTTTGATCGCGATCCAGACTTCTTTTTGAAAATGTATGAAGCACGTGCCTTTTCTTCAGCTTCCAATTTCAGCTGGGAACGGTCATAAAGCTTAACTGGGGCATCTTGTGTTATAGCAAATGCTGCATCATTCACTGCCTTTTGCCAGCTTGACAGTTTGGCATTGCTTTTAAATCTGCCATAAATCTTACTCTGTTCTAACATAAGATCAGTACTCATGCATGGAGACACATTTATTGGAAATGAAATCTTGTTGGTGGTATCGTCTCCAGATGAAACTCCTTGTGCCTTTTGATATACATGCTGCTCAATATTTTTTTCTTTAAGCTGTTGAAATTTATGTTTAAATTTCAACAAAAGACCCTGCTTCTTAATCATTGCCTTAATTGACTCAGTTGTCAAAAGAACAAAGGCATCACCATCAATTTCATTCTCTAAAGTATATAAAATATTTTTTTCAGCATACCTGTCAACAAGATCCTTATATATACTCACAAAATACATTTATTGTTCCATACTCTAAAAATACATACAACTATCTGTCATGTTAATCTTATAATATAACCAATGGAAAATATAAATATTTAATTTATGCTACATATATACATGCTGGTCACAAATAAAATTTCAAACAATTGCGTATTGCCATTTGAACAAGCAAATGGGAGTGTTTTGCCTACAAAGATCTTATAAACTTATTCAAGTATACAAATAATTGTAATTAGATTTTGTCAATTGACATACAGCAACAATACTCAATATATCAACATACATAACAACAGGGGCAAACATTATGTCTTTTAGGGATATTTCAGTAAAATATCTTTTTATGTAAATATTTTTAATACAAAAAAAACTTCTGCGAATCTACATTATATCACAAAAAATATTCGGAAAAATTTGGTATATTTAAAGATAACTAGAGTTCAGATTTTGCTAAACACAATAAAATTTCAGTGCGACAATTTTTTATTGGGAAGCATAATAAATATATAAAAACCAAATATGTAAAAGTCAAAAACAAAAACGGAGGAAAATTGAACTTTTTCAGAGTACAAATACAAATCAAACAAACGTACGGCATAAAAGTGCAAGTGAGCAGCACATGTGCATACACTAATTGGCAAATACAATATTTAAATAAAGTTATATTATATTGTCTGTACATTTTTTTAAGGAATTACCTTCAAAAATATCCACCGGTTTTTCAAGGTTGGATTCCTTTAACCAATCGCTAACAAATTGTACGCTTTTCCCCGCAAACTCATCCATATTTACTACCAATATACGACCTTTTTAACTATTTAATGTCGCAATTAATAGAAATCAATACTCGCGACTCGCGTACTCAAATGGTGCCAAATCCCCGGGGGTATTATTGCCGGAGTAAATACCCGGCTCCCGAGCATCTCTTTTACGAGCAAATTCCCGACCCCCGAGAAAGGTCTCCAGGGCAAATGCCCAGGGGTTTCCCGGGGGGGGGGATGGTAACTGTTGGAATTGACTCATGCATAAGCTAGTTCCTTTACATCTCGGCAGTGGTAGTCCTTTTGAAATATGTCCCACAGACAAGGTCTTTCTTCGAACAAGTCAATCAAGGTGTTGGTCTCATTCGTGGTCCACTTTCTAACTGCTTTTTTCTTTTTGGTATTATATTCTTCTACAATTACTTCTTCGTCACTTCAGTTTGCTATTTCGTCCGCCATGTTTATTATCAAGCTAAACGTATATTGCGCATGCGTATGACCAACATTGTTGCTAACGCCAGGTCAAACGATCGCAACATGCAAAATTAGCATAATTTGTTGGATAAAAATTTGACTACAATCAAATTCCATGCAACATTGTCCAACATCATGCAACATTATAAAAAAGGGTGGTCAAACGGGGCCAACATTTTGTGACAACAAAGTTGGATGATGTTGGATCAAAATGTTGCGCTCGTTTCACCGGGGCTTTACAATCGTAGGAGGAGGAGGGCAATGATAATCAAGCACTGAAAGAAAATTGTTATTATATATTCTTTCGATTTCATCATTTCCATATTTTTTATGAAATTCTACAAAATCCTGTTTCTTTCCAATTTTTTCCTCTAAAATTTCATTCATAAAGTCACTATGATTAGCAATGCAATCATATATTGAAATATCCAATTTATTAGAAAACTCTTTCAATACATAAATAGCTTCAATGTCATTACCATTTTCAATATCTTTTTTTCTTTTTCTACTTGGTGCAGTCCTTAACATTTCGTTCTTACGTTTTTTTCTTTAAATTTTTTTGCTTTGTTTTTTCTTTTCTTTACTTTTTAATAAATCACAACAAAATACAACAAATTGTCGCAAATTTTGTGATATAGCTCTTAAATCGTCAGCTTTTCTGAAATATGTTTTGTAAAACTCATCCGTTCAATCAACCATTGAAATATCATTTAGATCAGCAGGTTTGAAATAATCATCCTCCTCCTCATCATTATGAACATAAACAGTTCCACTTTCATGCACAACACGAGATGATTTTTGTGTTTTTAAAATTAATCTATTTCCTGAATCATGTTCCAAAATGAGGCGTTTCTCATTAGATTAAAACAAACCTTCATACAAAATTTCACTCTCATCTTTATTTGCAATTTTATTCAACATATTTGCCAATTTTTCACATGCTTACAAATTCATTTGCAACTCATATTTACAACACAATCCATCATTATATGGAGAGTAAAAAGATTTTGAAAAAAACCCAGACTACTAAAGCGATTAAAACAGCATACTCTATTTAACACGATTGCTTTTCCATTAGAATAAATTTGTAAAACTGTTACCAAATCTCTAAAAAATTTTTTGTTAATGGTATACTTTTCCATTTCTGTTATATTAACAAATGGTCCCTTAAAAAATACAATTCTTTACAAATATTTTTTCTATACATTTTTGTTCATTTATATTTATTTTATGGTTTTTGAGGGATGATTTATATTTTAAAATATAATTTTTTTTATCAGCAATTGTTAATTCGTTAGTATTTGATAAAAAGTATGATTTTCAGAAAAAGTTCTTTTAAAAACTTTTTCATGAAGTTGAAACAAATAAATTCCATTAAAATAACAATGAATTATGTCAATCCCATTCATCATCACCACCAATGCAGATAATTTCTTCAAACAAATACGTTTCTTTTATAGATTTCTGTATCTCAAGAATTTTCTTTTCTTGGTATTCTATCTTTCTCATAAAATTTCAATATTATAGCAATGATAACAAATATACCATGATACACATATTGAAAAAAAATATCACAAAAAATGTTATAATCCAATAATCTAAAAGTACTTTCATCAAGTAAAATCTTTAGATTTCTTTAAATCCTTGATATTTTCTTCTAATATCTCAACCCTTGCCTTTAAAATTTCCACTTCACTATTTGTCGTATCTGAATGTATTTCACCCAATGTAAAAAGAATGCAGACTGATATGAATAAAAGACAAAAATAGGAATCATCCATTTTTCTCTTCTTATTGTTCAACAGCATCATTATATGTACACCCAAACAAAAATTAAAATAATAAAAGTGATAATAAATATACTCAAAAAAAAAATTAAAAATGGGTTTTATATTATCTTCATCATGATATTCCATCTTTTTTTTAACAGATTCTTGTGACATCAGTTATTATATCCTTTGTGTAAATGCAAATATTCGTCAATACAATAGAAATTTAAATTTAAGTCAGCTTCATACATAACCAAAACCAACCAATGAAATCTTGTATTCTTACACATAAACAAATATAAGGTTCTTCTGGACAGGCACACATTGTTGCCGCCACCGCAGTTAGGTATAAGGGGACAGTTGATTAATTCAATAATTCTCGTTGCTTTATCTTTTATTATAATATCTTGTTTTTTTATCTTGTGGTTAAGAAGTATAATTTCTACATTCAATTTTTCAGCATCTAATTTTAAAGCAAGAAGTCTTTTCCGAACGACAATCAGATATGGAGTTTCTAGATGACAGTGATCAATCCGACAGTGAACTTTCATTTTACAGACAAGTGGATCAACAAATAAAATGCCGATGCAGGTAAATTAAAGTTACATACATATATTGTATACATTTTTAACAAAAACAAACGGTGAATAGTTAAACAGTTTTGAATTAACGACAAGCAAACCAACAAGCAAATATACATGTTTTTAGACTGAGGTTGTTTGACACATTTCTACACTGGACAAGCCCAACGATGATTGAAACGATACGCAGTCATTTCTATTGATCGGTATGTACAGATAAGAAACAGCGACGACAATTGTGAACTATGCAATATATTAACATTATACGGACAAATATGAAAACTATCCTAGATAGAACCAACACATAAAAGTTGACAGTTTTTTCTTTCGCTCGTGGAAGAAAATACATAAACGATGAAGACAATACCATTGATTCTGACGGTGATGGTGATAACGGCAAGGAGAGTGATGACTGTAAAGACGAAGACGATAGCTGCGATTGTAACAGTGGTGATGCTGGTAATGAGGGTGATGGTAATAGTGGTGATAACGACAACAGAGGTGATGACTTTGACGTTGAGAATGATATCGCTGATTGTGGAGGTGCTGATGACGTTGACGGCGACAACAACAAAGATGTAGACGATATTAACAGTGACTGTGATGAGGTTGAAATGGAGGTTGACATGATAACAAAAATCAGCGAAGGATGAATGTAAAACTTTTGTGGGGACGACGAATCTTGAGATGATTTACGCAGGGTGGACATAATCAACGACGATGGAAGAGGAGAAAAACTGATGGACGACTGAAGTAAACTATTTCTTGTGGCTGACATATACGAAAAAAGTTGTGTCACAGACGAAAATGAGTTCACAGGCATCAAATATACATCTTTTTTTTTCTGGTTGGACACGGATCATACAGCACATTTAACATTGAGAAATTTACAGGACATGACAGAGGGTTTTCACGTAAATCAATGTACATAAGTCTCGTGTACGAATTACGTCCAGTTCATTCACAGCTTTAGTATTGTTTCGTCTGAACGACAAAATCCTTATCCCTGTATCTTTTACCGTTCCGACTGGAACATGCTTCAGGTTCATGTTACAACAATCTAAAAGATGGTATCTTTTCACATAACCACATTTTTGACCATGGGTTACACCTACCGCCATAAAAAACATGCAGACAGCAAGGAATTCATTATGGAAATTTGGAAATGTTACAAATAACTCTTGTGAACTATGAATGTAGTTACGAAACGAATGAACGATGTGAGGATTTTAAAGTTAAACCCTCAAGTGCTTTTTTAAAATTTTCTGTCATAAATGTTTGCTAGAGTAAGATCTGTTCATATGTAATAAAAAGAGATCGTGTTGTTTGATTGATGTAGATAATTAGAAAAATATT